ATTCTTCACCAACGCCATAATTCAAAGGCATCAATTTTTCTTCGGTCTTCTTTACTCATGGTCTAGCTTTCACGTGCATATGAGGTGAATGAAAATACCATGGCTTGGGTCAGGTGCACTGTAGTCCTTAAAGTGACATCTTTGCTTTTTAACACTTTAAAGAGGTCTTTTGCCCAGTGCAATTTGCCCAGTGCAATGTGTCGTCTGATTTCTTGACTGCTGCTTCCATGAGCATTGATTGTGGATCCAAGTAAAATGAAATCCTTGACAATGTCAATCTTTTCTTCATTTATCATGATGTTGCTTATTGGTCCAGTTGTGAGGATTTTTTTTTCTTTATGTTAAGGTGTAATCCGTACTGAAGGTTGTAGTCTTTGATCTTCATCAGTAAGTGTTTCAAGTCCTCTTCACTTTCAGCAAGCAAGCTACCTGGGGATCCAGTTAAAATGCAGACTTTGATGCAGTAGATCTGAGGTGGAAGCTGGGATTCTGCATTTCTAACAAGCAGCACCCACATGATGCTGGTCCTTGGACCATGTTTTATTTTTGTTTGTTTGTGGTAAAAAATATATATAACATAAAATGTGTCACTTTAACCATTTTTAAGTATACAACTCAGTGACATTAATTATAGTCACTGTGTTCTGCAACCATCACAACTATTTTCAAAAGTTTTTCATCACCCCAAACAGAAACTCAGTACCCCTTCAGCAATAACTCCACATTCCCTCCTACACCCAGCCCCTGGTATCACTAATGAACTTTGGTCTCTATGCATTTACCTTTCTAGATATTTCATATAAGTGAGATCATACAATATTTGTCCTTTTGTGTCTGACTTGTTTCATTCGTCATAATGTTTTCAAGGTTCATCCATGTGGTGGCATATATCAGAACTTCATTTCTCTTTATGGCTGAATAATATCCCATTATGTGATATATCGCATTTTGTTTATCCATTCATCTGTGTATGGACACTTGGGTTGTTTCCACCTTTTGGCTATTGTGAATAATGCTGTGGTGAACACTGACATACAAGTATCTGTTTGAGTCCCTGCTTTCAAGTCTTTTGGGTATGGTGACTATGTTTAACCTTTCGAGGAACTGCCATACTGATTTCTAAGGTGGCTGCACCATTTTCTATTCTCACCAGCAATGTACAAGGGTTCCAATTTCTCCACCCCTCACCACCATTTGTTATTTTCCTCAGATCACACTCTGAGTTACACACTTTGAAGAACTTTAAGTCACCAGTGCATAGCACACTGATTCTCCAAGAGTAGTCCGAGGACCTCTGCATCAGTATCACTTGGGGGCTTGTTATACATGCTCATTCCCTGCCATCACCCCAGATCCTCTCAATCACACCATCTCGGGATGGGACCTGTCCAGTCCCAGTTTTTAATCAAGCCCCTCAGGTGATTCCTATGAACATTAAAGTTTAAGAACCACTGCCTGAAATCAGTGGTTCTCAACTCTGGCTGCAGGTTATAATTGCCTGGGATACTGTCTTAGTTAACTAGTGCTGCTATAATAGAAATACCACAAGTGGATGGCTTCAACAAATGGAAGTTTATTCTCTCACAGTCTAGCGGGCTAGTAGTCCAAATTCAGGGCGTCAGCTCCAGGAGAAGGCTTTTTCTCTCTGTCAGCTCTGGAGGAAGGTCCTTGTCATCAATCTTCCCCTGGACTAGGAGCGTCTCAACACAGGGACTCGGGGTCCAAAGGACGCACACTCCTGGCTCTACTTTCTTGGTCATATGAGGTCCCCCTGTCTCTCTGCTCACCTCTCTCTTTTATATATCAAAAGAGATTAATTTAAGACACAATCTAATCTTTTAGATTGACTCCCACCTCATTAACATAACTGCCTCTAATCCTGCCTCATTAACATCATAGAGATAGGATTTACAACACATAGGAAAATCACACCAGATGGCAAAACAGTGGACAATCACACAATACTGGGAATCATGGCCTAGCCAAGTTGACACATATTTTGGGGGGACATAATTCAATCCATGACAGGTATATTTAAAGATGCAATGCCCAGGCTATATCACAGATCATGAACTCAGATTCTCCAAAGGTGGATCCAGGACCAACCCAAAAAAACCCATTACTGTCGAGTCGATTCTGACACATAACGACCCTATAGGACAGAGTAGAACTGCCCAATAGGGTTTCCAAGGAGCAGCTGGTGGATTCGAACTGCCAACCTTTTGGCTAGCAGCCATAGCTCTTAACCACTACGCCACCAGGGCCATGTATTCTTTTATCAGTGTTTTTTTTTTTTTTTTTTTTAAGTATCCCTAGGTGAGCCTGGAACCTAGTAAGGGTTCCAAAGTGCTGCTTTAGATCAATAGTTCTTCTTTTAATTTCTATTTTTATGTAATATGCATCTAAAAATGTATAACTGTCACAACTACTGATCTCTACTCATCTGCAGATAAATAGAAAGAAGGAAACCAAAGACTCAAAGAAGAAACTAGGTACAGAACCAATAGTCTACATGAACAATATCACCTACTTTGAGACAAGAAGAACTAGATGGTGACCAGCTACCACTACCGACCGTTCAGACCAGGGACTCAATAGATGGTTCCAGATAGAATGGGAGAAAAATGTAGAACAGAACACAAATTCCTAAAAAAAAGGCTAGACTTACTGGACCGGTAGAGACTGGACGAACCCATGAGACTATAGCCCTGAGGTACTCTTTAAATTTGGAACTCAAACAACTCCCAGAGGTCACCTTTTAGCCAAATGATAGATTGGCCCATAAAATAAATATATCACTCAGTGCTGTGCTCCTCAAAATAATTTTCCAGATGAAACCAAATGATAAACGTTTACCCTAGACCAAAGACGAGAAGGCAAGGGAGGACAAGGAAGCTAGACTAATGGAAACAGAACAACCAAAATGGAAATAACGAGAACACTGATATATTTTAAAGAATGTAACCAATGTCACTGAACAATATGTGTACAAATTGTTCAATGAGAACCTAATTTTCTGCGTAAACTTTCACCAAAAATACAATAAAAAATAAAAAGTATAACTATCATAAGGGGAGGGTGGGGACTAAATCTTCAGAGGGAGCAAAGTGTAGCTGTGGTTTTAGAATCAGGAGGCTTGGGCTCCGGTCCTAACTCTGCCACTTAGAATTTACGTGACTCTCTGAATGTCAGTTTCTTCCTTTGAAAACAAGAGGCCATAATACTTGCCCTATCTACCCCATACACCTGTTATGTGAAAATACCTTATAAACTATAAAATGTTATACAAATAGCAAGGATTACCACTTTGAGATTTATATTACGATATTAATGTGTGAGGCAATTTAACTTATGGAAACAGAAAGCAGTAGTAACAATTTTACAGGCAATTACTTCCCCTGGGCTTTTTGATGTTACCTCTTAATCCCTACACAGTCCCACATGTGGGAGTTTGAGGACAGAGCTCTGCCACCCCAGCCTTGTAGCTCCTGCTTCTCTCTATGCTGATTTGTCACCTGGCCCCCTGCCACTGTGGAATTCTACCTGCTAGCCACTGAGGGTTTTTTTGTCTAGACTACTCCATGGGTTTGGTTGAATGAGGGAGAAAGAATGTAATTATCCAAGGGGGCCCCTGGCAAAGTAGACAGGCTTTGAAGCTCCCCAGCAGATTATTCTGGGCCAATGCTGGTAAGTCCACACTACAGCCCCTTAGAACATCTGGAAATCTCTATCTAATAGGTAGGGCCCCACGCCCCCTTTCTCTCCACCAAATCTCTCCAAGAGCTTCTGTAGGATTTTTTGTCTGTCCTAATTGTGATTTAGATTATTGCAGCCCTAAAGTTCCACAAAACTCTCCCACCTCCATCAATCTCCCCTGAACCCAAATAGGACTGCGTGAAACCTCAACATTAAAAATACAGATATTTTAAAAATCACATGGGCATATGGGCTGATGAGGACAAGCAGTCAATAATGAAGGAGCAGTCAAACACTGTTTCATATGTTGCTGGTGCATTCCAAAAATAGGCTACTTACCAGCCGGGTATTTACCACAGGAAAAAGCAATGCCAGAAGAGCTCCATTCAACATGTGCATCTGTAGCCTAGAAGGGAAAAAAAGATACAAAGTCCAGGTCACATTCAGACTCTGATGCAAAGGAAGGGAAAAAACATGTCAGGTGAAGCCATGCCATATGGGAGGACACTAAGTATACACATGGCCTCTGTTTAAATAGCACTAGAATTTGCACACATGTGAAATATAAATTAAAAGCAGCATATTTTGTTATTAACTGAAATTTTCTGAAGAGCATCACCATTGCCTCAAAATCCCCCCAAACACTTGCTGAACACCCTTTGGTTACAGAACTTCATTACATAATGAGTTCTGGGCTCCCTAAACATTCAGGCAGTCCCAATCAATGGCTTTAAGTGCTGCAACTCCGGCGGCATTAGAAATGGGGAACTGTGGTAGCTAAGTGCTCTGTTATTACAGTAGAAACCCATTTATTATAACATGGCAGCTTATTTATGCAGTCATGCCCAATCCTTTTTCCCAAACAGAGACATGGGCAGTAAAAGGCTGGTATAATCAAGGGAGCCAACTGCAGCGTTGTGCAGACTGTGTTCCCTCAATTTCTTAGAAGTGCCTTTAGGGGCTACTGCAGGAGGTGTGTGGGGGGCACAAGTGCCAGCGGTCCAGGTTTTCATTGATCTGTTATACATATTGGACCCTATGACTTACAAACAAAACCACAAAAAAAAAAAAAAAAAAAGAAGAAGAAAACCTCCAGTCTCCAGCATCGGGTAGTGATGCTGTTTCTCAATACCAGACTTGTTAAAATGCATAATAGAAACCTTTTAAGTTAAGAACAATTAACTCAGGAACAAACTCTGCTTTTGAGAGCCCTGGAGATGGATTTAAGCCGCTTTCTTCATCTTTCAAGGCAAATAGTCTTTTACTATTAAGGGAGAAGCAAAGAATGACAGTCTGTCCCTCCTGAAGAAAGGCTGCTTTGATGTACATCGTGTACAACCACCACCGATCCAATGTTGCCTCTCAGACCTCAAGACACTAGCTGCATCTGGATCTGGATCTCTCTCTCTCATTCTCTCTCCCTCTTTCATTCTCTCTCGCTCTCTCTCACACACACACATACAAAGCAGCCCTGGTATCTCCAATGCCCTAAGAAGTCCACACCTTGAAGACCCTCGAGAGCATTTAAGCTTCTCTTGGAGCTCACAGATGCATGTCTAAGACTAAGAGACATTGCAAGGGTATCCAAGAGAATAAGGCCGCATTTCATTTCCCCCAGGTGGTTTCTTCCTGCTGCTGTTTGTGTTAACACTGCCATGATAATGATGATAGCGTGCACTTAATATATTCCAGGCAATTATCTAATTAACTGCTTTACACTCACTCTCTCACTTAATTTTTACAGCAATCTTATGAGATAGGTATTATTACCGTTCTCATTTTGTTGATGAGGAAACCAAGTTCAGAGAAGTGAAATGACCTGGTCAATACCGCACCTGAGCTAGAGCTAGGATTCAAACTCAGGTTTTTCTGAGTCCAGACCCCAAGCTCTTTTGTCTCTTTTGCTGCTTTATGCCAGAGCCTCTCTCCCTCCAAAATATGACCTCGGGGAGGCTCTATTTCCTTCCTTTTGGTTCCAGGGGTTTCTCAACTTGCCCCAGGCCTAATGTGCTTTCAGTGGATGATGGAAGGGGATAATGCTCTTAGCCAGACCAGGCCTTCATAGGCCTACAGGACCAACAGGACTTCCACTGGTCCATAAAAGGGAAGAGGCACACCAAATCAATGTCACCTCTGCCTCCAGGGCTGGCCAGGTTACCATGTGTTTTCAACAGAGTTGTTCCATAAGGCAGCTGTGCTCTGAGAAAGTGACTGCTAAAAACTCTGGTTCAACCCTCAGTGCCTAGAACAAGAGTTATTAACAGTCATTCCAGGCCTGGCATAAGGTAGTCTGGCCTAATCCTGCTCCTATGTGACAGCCACAGCATAAAGACTCACCCTGGGAGAGGAAAAATCATATTGATAGGCCAGGTAAAGCTGGATTCTGTTGCCAGGCTTCTGCCCATTGACCATAAAGGAATGTTGGCATTTGTACAAGGCCAATTAGACATTTGGGCACCAAAAGTTAACTCTTGAAGATGACAGAATTGATTCCAAGTGTTCATGGAAGGCCAAAGATAAAGGAGATAAAACCAACATCAAGATTCAAAAAGAAAAATAAGTCTGTAGGTTAAGACAGGCCTTAATCTGAGTTCTCAAAATTCAGTTTCCCAAGCTACAAATATGCCAAAGGGTAAATTATTCTTAATATAGGAAGAGGTCTTCCACATCAATAATTATCAAAATTACCAAAATGTATTGAGAATTTCTCTGTGCCAATAACTGGGATAAGTATTCAAATGCATCATCTCATTTAATCCTCACAGTTTTATCACCACCATCATCATCTTCATTTCATAGCTGAAAAAGTAAATTTTCAAGTGATTAAATGACTTGCCCAACATCACACAGATAATAAGTGGCAGAAGCAGAAGTCACACACAGGAGAGAGAGAGCAGAGGGTAGGAGCAAAGGAGGGAAGGAGGGAGGGAGAGATGGTAAAAAGAAAAAAAAAAGAAAATCGTGTGAAAGAGACAAACTGTTTAAAAAATTCAAAGTATGAGAAAGAGGTCCAGAAAAAGCAAAAAGATAGATTAAAGGCTGGAACCAAAACATACACGTTGGAGACAGAGTCCTGTTTAATTAGTCATACCTATAAACCTCTTTCTTGCCAGCTCATTGTCACAAATATTTTCTGGAGCCCTTTTTTGTTTTTTGTATAGGGTACTGTGTTGAGTAAGCTTAGCTGGTAAGAATATGGGCACAATATGACAAGAGTCATGGGTTTGATTCTCGTTCAGGTCAGTCAATTCATTAAATTTAGTTCCACAAACAATCAATCCATTACTGTTCCTCTAACATTGTTCTAAGTGCTATAGGGAAAAGAAGATAGATATAAGTAAGACACCATACCTGCCCTCAAGAGCTAACAATCCTACTGAGAAGGCAAGGAATGAAATAACTAGAGAAAATGTAATATAATGGTTAAGAACCTTGGAGTTTGGAATCAAACTTATGTTCAAATCCCAGCTCTACTACTAATTGGCCAAGTGACTCTGGACAAGTCACTTAAACTATATGTTTGTCAGTTAACTAAATTATAAAATGGAGCTAATAACAGTACCCACTTGAAAGGGATGTTGAGAGAATTTCATGAGATAACACCACATAAAATGACCAACATAGTGCCTGGGACATTAACTATGAGTAGGCATTACTGAGTAAGCACTCGGCATATGGTGTTTATTATTATCCTTAATAAATCAATGTAAATTAATATTACACTATTCATAACAACAAATGAAGCTATTTAAAATCCTCACGAAATGGCTTATATTTTAATTTAGGACTTGATTACAACCAAGAGCCAAAATATATGGGACAGGTGACAAGTTCTGTGGGAAAGGGAAATAAGGGGTGTTGGCTGAAGATCTGAGAATGGTTTTGCGGAAGAGATGAAATTTGAGAGCTGCTAAAATTACACTCCTTACTCTAGCCAAGGAGCCCTGGTGGCGCCGTGGTTAAAGTACTCAGTTGCTAACCAAAAGGTCAGTGGTTCGAACCCACCGGTCGCTCCACAGGAGAAAGCTGTAGCAGTCTTACTCCATAAAGATTTACATCCTTCCAAACCCTATGGGGCAGTTCTGCTCTGTCCTATAGGGTTGCCTTGGGTTGAAATCAACTCGAGGGCAATGGATCTGCTTTACTCTAGCCAGCCAACCTGCAAATATGATAGGCAGTTTCTGGTTCTGGGCAAGATGGAGTAAGCACACTCCACCCTCACTATTCTCGAGCTATAAAAACTTAGAATGCACGGAGCAACTATTTGAAGACTAAAAAGTCAATAACAGCAGGCCAACTGGGAGAGAAGATTACCAAACCAGTGGTGAGTTGCCCATTTTTCCCTTTCCAGATCCCCCACACTGAACTCAGTGTATCAGAAGTGGGCACCAAAGGGCAGAAAGAGAGGTATCCAGCAGAGCTCTCTAGTTCTGGTTTGAGGTACAAGAAAGAGAAACTCCTAATGCTCAGAGAGTGTGTGGGAACCCTTCTTTCCTTTCTCAATTTTGCCAAACTCCAGTCCCCAAGCAACCCAATGGTAGCAGAGTCAGCCTGTGGCAATAGATACTTAAAGAAGCTAAAACTCTGAGGGAGGGAAAACTTCCTCTTCATTTGGTGGCTCTGTGATCCCAAAAGGGTGGAGAAAATCATACTGCATTTTTTTCTCTCTATGTCTTCTTGACACTTGACCTCAGACATGGTTGCAGTTGTGAAACTTCACATCAGAGTGAAGTAACTAAAACCTTCATTTTCTGTCCAGAGGACTAAAAGAGAAGGCCCAGGAAACTGCAAAGTACTGGTGGTATAGTGAGAGAAAGGAGCTCAAGGAAGCAATCCCATAAAGTTCTGGATGAATTCCTGGTCCCACTCTCAAGCTGAGTATGCATGAATATCATTCCATAAACACAGCATGACCAAGACTGTGAGAAATGAGCTAACAGATAGAGCACCATCCCAGTTTCAGATAGCTCACTGGGTGGCACACATGCGGGACAAGTCTGAATAGCACTGCAAAGGTTTTGAAAACTGAACTGACATTGGAATCACAGCCCAGAGAAGGCAGATTAGAAATTGCAGCCTGAACCTACCCAGGTCAATTACCTGCTTAAAAAACAACAACAACATTCTCTTTAGGATTTAAGCAAGACTCAGTGTCTTAAAACACTCAAAATGTCCGGAACAGCATCTAAAATTACTTGGCATACAAAGAACCATGAAAATCACAAGAATTAAAGCAGCTATAATAAAATGTTCCAGCAAGCAATTGGGAAAAAACTCTTAAAAGTAATGGAAAAACAGCACATTTCAGCAAAAAAGAAAAAAAAAAGAAGATATAAAGAAAAAACAAATGGAAATTTTAGAACTAAAAAAGAACACTACTCATAATAAAAAACTCACTGGATAGCT